TTTGATACTTCTTCTCATTTTAATGAGTTCAAAAACTACCTACGCATACCAAGTGGACGAGAATGTACAAATTCACAAGTTTCGTAGCTGAGAACGTGAGGCAGAGTTATCACGCCGAGCTTTCAATCTTGGATATACGATACTTATAGTATTGGCTTATTCCTTTTCTGCTAGTTTAATGATAACTTTACCTCAGTTCATACTATAAGCCGATATCCAGCAAACTATAGTTAACGGGGACCTTTTACATCAATATATTGGTTCTACCAGGTAATTTACCATGTTTTGGGAAACTGCTAGAGGTACAGAATACTCCATAATGTATGATTTTATGGCAGCTTACCTTGAAAATTTACAGTGGATGAGGAAGCTGATTTGACAAGATGGTACATATACCATGCACGAGTAAATGAAAACATACAAATATACTAAGTGACATATATATCCGAACACCCAGTTTAAATGGTTTTATTTTAATAAAATTTTGTACAAGTACTTAATGAAGCATAATAAGTAAATGATAAAAATTTCAAAATGATTGCACTGCTTTAAAGCCCTTTGACCTTCAATAATGTGTGGATGCACCCTGATGTGCTACGCATTCTCCAACGCGCCTAGGCATGCTTCTGATCAGGTGGTCAATGTCCTCCTGTGGTATCTCATTCCAGGCAACCACCAACTCCTCTCGAAGTGCTTCTAGAGTCTGAGGAGGACGTTGCAAACTGAGCAATCTCCTACCCATCATATCACACACGTGCTCAATTGGGGATAAGTCGGGAGATCTTGGTGGCCATGGTAACAATGTGACATCATTATGTTGAAAGAAGTCTATTGTGACTCTTGCAACTTGTGGTCGGGCATTATCTTGTTGGGAAGTTGGATCTGCCAGGGTGTCAAGATAGGGTAAAAGATGGGGTTCTAGAACTTCGTGGATATAACGCTGCGCGTTCATGTTACCTCTGATGAAGATTAAAGGTGACCTGGAACCATAAGCTATAGCACCCCAAACCATAACTCCAACATTGATGAACATGTCTTTCAACAAAAAACTGTGGATTCCTCCTTTCACCACGTCGCCTTCTAACCCTGGCACGACCATCGTGCATGCCTAAACAAAATCGAGACTCGTCACTAAAGACAATACTGTTCCATTCCTGATCCCAGAGTGACCGTTGTCTGCACCACTCAAGGCGATTACGTCGGTGTTTTCGAGTTAAATTGAGGCCCCAGTGTGGCCGGTATGAAAACAAGCCAAAACTTCTCATTCGTCGGTAAACACTTCGTATGCCAATAGGTCTTCCGTGTTCTGCAAACCATTCATTTGCAATGGACCTGGTAGTGGAGAAACGGTCCCTTAATGCCAATAATCTTAGGCGGCGATCTTCACGGTCTGTTGTTCTACGGCGGCGTCCAGTGTCCCTTGCTCTTTGCGTACGGCCTTCTCGAATCCATGCCTGACAACACCTAACCACAGTGTCTACACTGCTTTGCACTCTAACTGCAATTGCCCGAAAAGAAAGTCCAGCTTCCCGAAGTCCCACTATACGGCCCCTATCAAACTCACTAAGTTGACGAAATCGTACAGGTCTCCGTACTCTAGGCATCGTAACCGATCGTAAAGGATGTCAAGAACCAAAATCCGCCAACGTTGATTCTTTACTGCGGCTGAAATATTCATTTTTAGTGCGTTAGTGAATTGAAAAAAAGCAGTATAAAAACCGGAATGTCCAACTGATAAGGCTGAACATTTTTTCACTTGTTATTTACAGTAAGCTAAATACATTCACCAACTTTTATTAAAATAAAACCATTTAAACTGGGTGTTCGGATTTATATGTCACTTAGTATAGTAACTACTGGCGGTTAGGCAATGATATAGCAAAAGCGCATTACTGTCACCTTTATGTTACTATACGCCGTTAACCGTACGTATGTCCTTATCTTCCTGATTATCTGAGAAAAGGTAAGACTAGCGTAACTATTCCTGAATATTAGACACCATTTTATTGTCAAATTATTTTGCAGGTTCTCCAGACTCTCGCCAAGACCTATTTTTACAATTATACACAGCTCTGCAATCCCCAATGATAAGAGGAAAACTGAGAATCATAGAAATTCAATAAAAAACATCGTAATTTTCAGGTAGTTGCACTGCTAGGTATGTTGTATACTACTCGTGTATGCTGTGGCGAAAGTCTAGGCGAAAACCGTTCACCTTCCGAAGTCTCCGATGTCTTCGGAGTATAAACTTACCTTATTGCTTGGAAGGTAAGATGAATGCCGGTTTCCTCTGTCTGCAGACGAAACTCTACCACGCAGTTTAACAGACCTGTGATCTGCTTTATTGGTAGGACTGTTCAGATGGAGTTCTGATATTGTCAGAGCAATAGACTCTGCTCTTGGCTGCGGTTTCAGGCCTGCTATGTTGATTCTTTCCCACGTTTCGAATGCTGAAAAATTATGAGTTACACTCACGCAGTAGAAAAGTTTACATGGGTAGAACTTTCTTGATTTTTTGAGGTCTCTAAAATGTAGGCTATGTTCCTTCTGACAGCTATTTTTATCTTTTTACTGAACATTTGTTGTATGCGTCTAACCCAATCTTAACATACAAATAGTCTGAGAAGCTATTTGAAACATAACCATATCTCCATGGTCAAACTCTTCAGGCTTCTGGTTCTAATTCTAACTCAACCATGCTTTATACATCGAAAAATACTCGACACGATTTCTTCTTTATCTCTAAAAGGTAGATTTGACCCCAGCCACCTCACAATCTTCCTAATATACATGTCTATTCATCGGAGCTTTGGCTTGTGTAGAGACCGAACCAACACGAAAAGCTCTTCAGTATAATATGCATTTTAGAAAAAAGGTATGGCCAGAAGGAGGTTGGCAAGCTATAAATCTAAACACATGTGTGTTTATACCTGTTAGAGCTACCCCCATGATCTAGTTTACGATACCTTTTATTGTAAAGGGTTGTCCAATAGGGACGCAAGAAAGTAAACATCAATTTGACATAGACGCCATCTTTGTTTTCTGTCACCGACATGTCATTTTGTTAGTTGAATGTTTACCATTGAGCGCTATGGAGTCATATTCGATTGAAGACCGCATTAAAGTTATTCAAGAGCACTACAAAAATGGTGCAAAAACACGTTTCGCGCGCTTCGTGAACATTTCGGTCGCAACAACCGCCCAAACGAAACAACCATCGGTCGTCTGGTGCGTAAATTCGAGGCAACAGGTTCTGAGGCAAATCTGCCAGGCTCTGGCCGGCCAAGGAGCGTTCGCACACCGGAAAATATTGCTGTTGTGAAGGAGAGTGTGAGAGACGATCCGAAACAATCAACAACGCGTCGATCCCAAGAATTGGGCATTTCGAGAACCAGTTTGCTCCGCATTCTCCTCAAGGATTTGAATGTACACGCCTACAAGATAAAAATTGACGCAAGAGCTGCGTCGGGCCGACCATTTTTCGCGCCGAACGTTCTCAGATTGGCTCCTTGAACACCGCCAAATTGATGCCAATTTTTCATCAAAAATCATGTTCAGCGATGAAGCGCATTTCACTTTGAATGGGACGGTAAACAAGCAAAACTACCGCATCTGGGCGAACGAAAATCGCCGTGAGTATCAAGAGCAGCCGATACATCCTCAAAAAGTGACTGTGTGGTGTGCATTGTGGTCAAAAGGCATCATCGGACCTTACTTTTTCGAAAATGCGGCCGGGGACGCCGTTACCGTCAATTCTGAGCGATATCACGTGATGATAGAGGACTATTTTTTGCCGCAACTTGAAGGAATGGATATGGACGATGTTTATTTCCAACAAGACGGTGCAACATGCCACACAACCAACGTCAATATCCATCGATTGCAGTCCTTCTTCGGTGATCGCGTGATTTCGCGCAGAGGAAATGTGCAATGGCCACCAAGATGGTGCGATTTGACTCCCTTGGACTTCTTTTTATGGGGATATTTGAAAAGCAAAGTCTACGTCAACAAACCAGCCACCCTCCAAGAACTCAAAAACAACATCATTGCCGAGATAAATGCCATAGAACCGACCATGTTGCAAAATGTCATTGAAAATTTCGACCATCGCGTGGACGTCTGTAAATCCAGTCGTGGTGAACATTTGAGCGATATTATTTTTCATACATAAATGGTATAAATGAACCTTCAAAATTAAGTACCCAACTTGATTTGAGTATCAATCTTTCTTGTTTTAATATGCGTTTACTTTCCTGCGTCCGTTTCCTCGAGTAACATCTGTATTAGGCATTTGTGTATACTCTAAAAGCTCTTGCAATATTAAAACCATTTCACGTATCGGACAAAAAAGATTACTCGCAATATAGGAGTATCAAAACTATATAAGGAAGTGAACCATTCATTCCAGATATTAATATACACATACTTTAACTGCTTAATCCTCTTGGCAACAAAGTATTGCATCGCGAAAAAATTTGAAAACAGGTTATTGTACTTTTTGGGTGTAGTATGATACGTACATCTCGAAGAACCATGTAACATTTGTCAATGATCCTGACTTTGTTTCCAGTCTAGACTACCTACCTCCATTTTTCATATAGATTCACATCCTTGAATATTCGCATATTAATAAGAAACACCCTGTATATCTGGTGGTCATTGCGGACATCTACCATAGAGTGGCGTAGTACAAAGATCAAGTAAAATTTGCTACATGCTTTGCCTTCGCGACTATTTCAAAACTCACCAAAACTGAACCTCCACAGCTCGTCGCACGGCTCTCCACCCCTCTCCCCTCCAAAAACATACATAGACTTGTATAGCGCGCAAGCGGCGTGTCCATACAGTGGTCCAGGTCCAGTTTTGGGCTTCACCGCTCTCCATCTTCCAGGACCCGCCTCCCATCGCCAGAGGTCGCTACGTGCCTGGAGGTCGGTCATGCCTCCGAAAATCCACATGCAACCGTCGGAGAAGACCGCGGAGTGCTTGTGACGTGGCGGAGGACATGTTGAGGAGGAAGAGCAGTGCGTTGAGGATGAGGGCGACAGGAGGTGCCAGGAGTCGGTATCTGAAAACAATTCGTCAGATAGGGTAAATCGAGGTTATATGGCCATAGAGGAGAGATGGCCCAACTCGATATTTTCCTAAATAGTTATTAGAGGGCGTTTTTTTCAATAAGGCGTAATCTACTGTTTTTTTTTTGTGATCGTGCTATACTAGAAACTCTGAGTCAATTAACTAAGTTTAAAGGTAAGTTATCTTAAAATTACTGTTTACATGGGTTCAATAGTTTTTGAATACAATTTTCCACTAGCCAAATTTCATAAAATTTTATTAGTTTTTAACAATCCGTCTGGTGTTTATTTTACCATGTGTGGTGTGTTTTATGTTGCCTAAGCGTTTTACGCTAATTAACGTATATACGTATAAAATCTAAATTATGCTATGGTAATCTTTCCTCGAAGAAAAGGAGAGATGGCCCACTTATTTCCTATGTATGATGGCCATCGTAGATCATTTGTATTTATTTTAGATGCCAAATACTTATAAAAGAAAATCATTGGAGAGGGCCAAATGGACCGAGGAGCAACTGAAATCTGAAATAAGTACTGTTAAAGATGAGGGATTATCTGTACGTCAGGCTGGAAAAACTTACGGTATTCCGAGAAAGACATTGGAAAGGCGAAAGAATGAAGACCATAAGAAAAAATTGGGTCCAGATACTACTTTCGAAGCTGCACATGAAAACAGACTGGTTCGGCATATTATAAAAATTGAAAAAGTGGATCTCCACAATGTTCAGCTGGGCTTAAAACATAAATTTAATAATCGGCTTCAGAAAGCTGGTTAAGTTTGGATGCGTTCATTTCTCACCAGAGATCCACAAATATCAGTTAGAAAAGCAGAAAGTTTGTCGTTGGCGAGGTGCACAGCAATGTCTAGAAAGGTAGTATACTAAGTGACATACAAATCCGAACACCCAGTTTAAATGGTTTTATTTTAATAAAAGTTGGTGAATGTATTTATCTTACTGTAAATAACAAGTGAAAAAATTTTCAGCCTTATCAGTTGGACATTCCGGTTTGTATACTGCTTTTTTTCAATCAACGTTGGCGGATTTTCGTTCTTGACATCCTTTACGATCGGTTACGATGCCTAGAGTACGGAGACCTGTACGATTTCGTCAACTTAGTAAGTTTGATAGGGGCCGTATAGTGGGACTTCGGGAAGCTGGACTTTCTTTTCGGGCAATTGCAGTTAGAGTGCAAAGAAGTGTAGACACTGTGGTTAGGTGTTGTCAGGCATGGCTTCGAGAAGGCCGTACGCAAAGAGCAAGAGGCACTGGACGCCGCCGTAGAACAACAGACCGTGAAGATCGCCGCCTAAGATTATTGGTCTTAAGGGACCGTTTCTCCACTACCAAGTCCATTGCAAATGAATGGTTTGCAGAACACGGAAGACCTATTGGCATGCGAAGTGTTTACCGACGAATGAGAAGTTTTGGCTTGTTTTCATACCGGCCACACTGGGTCCTCCCTTTAACTCGAGAACACCTACGTAATCGCCTTGAGTGGTGCAGACAACGGTCACTCTGGGATCAGGAATGGAACAGTATTGTCTTTAGTGACGAGTCTCGATCTTGTTTAGGCATGCACGATGGTCGTGCCAGGGTTAGAAGGCGACGTGGTGAAAGCAGGAATCCACAGTTTTTTGTTGAAAGACATGTTCATCACACTGTTGGAGTTATGGTTTGGGGTGCTATAGCTTATGGTTCCAGGTCACCTTTAATCTTCATCAGAGGTAACATGAACGCGCAGCGTTATATCCACGAAGTTCTAGAACCCATCTTTTACCCTATCTTGACACCCTGGCAGATCCAACTTTCCAACAAGATAATGCCCGACGACATGTTGCAAGAGTCACAATAGACTTCTTTCAACATAATGATGTCACATTGTTACCATGGCCACCAAGATCTCCCGACTTATCCCCAATTGAGCACGTGTGGGATATGATGGGTAGGAGATTGCTCAATTTGCAACGTCCTCCTCAGACTCTAGAAGCACTTCGAGAGGAGTTGGTGGTTGCCTGGAATGAGATACCACAGGAGGATATTGACCACCTGATCAGAAGCATGCCTAGGCGCGTTGGAGAATGCGTAGCACATCAGGGTGCATCCACACATTATTAAATGTCAAAGGGCTTTAAAGCAGTGCAAACATTTTGAAATTTTTATTATTTACTTATTATGCTTCATTAAGTAGGTACTTATACAAAATTTTATTAAAATAAAACCATTTAAACTGTTTCTTCGGATTTATATGTCACTTAGTATATATTGGATGGTCTGCGATCGAAACTGGTTTGTGAATATTAAAACCATGTGTTCTGGAGGGTATAAAACGAAAATTATAGGTTAGGAATGTGACATGGAATATTTCATTCATTAGTTTGGCTAATCTTGCTCGGAGTCGCAACTGCAAGTGGTTAAATGCAATGGTCTTGTGGACTGTAAAACGGTTTTTATAGTATTTTTGCCTAAAATATAGTTTCGACGTCTAGGAACCGAAAAGTTTCTCCTAGTATGCGAATACCTTTTAAATAGCTATGTCTACATGTTCTTTCGACAGTTCACTTGTTCTTGCCCACAAAAACAGCACCCCAATGGTTTGCTGCCCTGCATAACAAGTTGTTGGAACATCTCTGTTGATTTGCCATAAATCAGCTTTGCTCTAAAAAGAGTCGGTCATTGTACGACTTGCTCAAAATGCTTTCTTTGTTGCTATTTCCCCAATGTGGCGGAACAAGCGGCTATGGTGCTACCGATAGGTAGCAAAGTATGAATTCGGAGAGAACTCGTCAAAATATTCAAATGCAGTGATTTTCAAAGCTCCCAATACCTTGAAGCTGTGGTCGCTAACGCTTCCGTAAATTTTGTAAATTCTCATAATAAACACCAGCAGCGGCAACACTGCGGTGAGCGATCTGTTGCGAGAACGATCTCGATTACTTTGAACGACACAAAGTCCAGTTGGGCTAGAGTTGGCCTGCAATTAAAAACATGAAGTCATACCGTTTCCATTCGGAATCGGTAGAACAATATTTCTTCATCTGTTTCCGTTGCTAAAAAAGGGAATGTCGAGAGCCACTATATAACTGTACATTCGAATTTTGAAAAATCATTCCCATTTCGCTCTGCAACCAGAACGGAAAAACTGAGACATTAAAAAGTTAGGACAACAGAAAATGTTTTTAAAAACAATTGACAAAAGTAAGGCTGCAACTGAAGCATCGTACAGGGTGTCCCAGATCATGACACAAAGGAAAAAACCTTATGAAGACGAGGAAATGATAAAACAGACGTTTTAAGAAGCTACAGGTTCATTGTTTGCCAACTTTAGAAATAAAGATGAGATTGTGTCTGCTATAAAATGTATGCAACTTTCTGCTAATACAGTGATGAGGCGAGTACAAGTAATGAGCAATAATATAGTTTTACAGTTGAGAAATGCCTTCGATGACCGTGCTTATTTTTCATTGCAGCTGAGTCCAAAGATTTCGTTGACACCTCTCAGATGGTCGTGTTCGTCAGGATAGTTTTTAGTGATTTTACGATTAGGGAAGATCTTTTGAAGTTTATTCGACTAAAAGGACATACTACTGGGCAGGACTTGTTTTCTCCTTTTAAAAATAGTATTTCTTTTGAGGAAATTCCAATATCGCAAATGGTAGGCAACCGATGACGCTTTAGCTACGTATGGTGGGTCATGTTAAGGGTCTCGTAGGGTTATGTCGTAAAGATGAAAGTTGTCCGCAATTTTTCTGTTACCACTGCATTATCCATCAGCAAGCATTACGCGGACATTTTCTAGAACTAAACAACGTTATGAAATTGGTAGTAAAAATTGTGAACAGGATTACAAAAAAGATTATTCCAATCTTGGCCGATGAAATTGACTGTTATTTCTACACTTATTGATCTACATAGGAAACACCATATAAGAATGCATCTATTACCGAAGTGATATGCCCACAATTCGTTGCAAGATCCTTTCAGGTCCTGATATCCGCCATATATGAGCATTGACCCATTGTAAACCAAAGCAGTATGGCCTCTCCTCCCTTTCGGCGTGGTTACACCTGCAAAAAATACGAACCTTGATTGAAAAATCAGAATTTTCTGGTAAGGTTTGTCGATGCCAGGAGCCACAAGCTTTTGAGGTTCTCTAATCTGAGACCTGATTCTATCTGCTAATTCTGGCTACCACGCACTGGCAATCCAGCTGGCTTAGACATTTCTGTCTAATTTACATATATTTTATTAACGACACTTCAATAAACTTCTTACTTTATTTATATTATATGATTTCGATCGACATAAACCATATACCTAACTATACTAAGTGACATATAAATCCGAACACCCAGCTTAAATGGTTTTATTTTAATAAAAGTTGGTGAATGTATTTATCCTACTGTAAATAACAAGTGAAAAAATGTTCAGCCTTATCAGTTGGACATTCCGGTTTTTATACTGCTTTTTTTTAATTCACTAACGCTCTAAAAATGAATATTTCAGCCGCCATAAAGAATCAACGTTGGCGGATTTTGGTTCTTGACATCCTTTACGATCGGTTACGATGCATAGAGTACGGAGACCTGTACGATTTCGTCATCTTAGTGAGTTTGATAGGGGCCGTACAGTGGGACTTCGGGAAGCTGGACTTTCTTTTCGGGCAATTGCAGTTAGAGTGGAAAGAAGTGTAGACACTGGGGTTAGGTGTTGTCAGGCATGGCTTCGAGAAGGCAGTACGCAAAGAGCAAGGGGCACTGGACGCCGCCGTAGAACAACAGACCGTGAAGATCGCCGCCTAAGATTATTGGCCTTAAGGGACCGTTTCTCTACTACCAGGTCCACTGCAAATGAATGGTTTGCAGAACACGGAAGACCTATTGACATGCGAAGTGTTTACCGACGAATGAGAAGTTTTGGCTTGTTTTAGGAGATTGCTCAATTTGCAACGTCCTCCTCAGACTCTAGAATCACTTCGAGAGGAGTTGGTGGTTGCCTGGAATGAGGTACCACAGGAGGACATTGACCACCTGATCAGAAGCATGCCTAGGCGCGTTGGAGAATGCGTAGCACATCAGGGTGCATCCACACATTATTAAAGGTCAAAGGGCTTTAAAGCAGTGCAATCATTTTGAAATTTTTATCATCTACTTATTATGCTTCATTAAGTACTTATACAAAATTTTATTAAAACCATTTAAACTGGGTGTTCGGATTTATATGTCACTTAGTATATGTAAGTTTTGGAGGCCTACCTATATCTATAAGTATCCTTGTTGAATTCGATCGAAGAAATAAAGCGTATCTATATATTAACTAGCTAAATAACTTTAAAGAGTTGATATAGTCGTTATAGATCAGTAGGTATTTATTGTACTTGTGAATATTAATCGACCAACTTATCATCAGACCTACTGGGACCAGAGTATTTGTCAAAATGAATGAAACAAGTTGATTTACTTTATGATTTATGGTAATAATGACGCCTGTTTCTCTCATCAAACCATTATATTAGATACCCATAGCATAGGGATGATTATAGAAATTACAAATCGCCATTTTGCGGCGGCCATCATAATGTATCTAGAATGACGTCAATTTACTCATTACAATAATCTTGGAATCATTAAAGATCGAAACAAATAATCAATTTCCAAACAGTCGGATTTTTTCTTACCTTTTTTGGTACGTTTTTTCTTCCAAGAATTCGCCTTGATGTCATACACCCACAGAGGTGTTTCTGTAGCTGCGGAGAATCCTACTTCTCCTCCGAAGAC